TACCCCAAAGAAACTCTCAACTTTCTCGCCCATTCTCTCTCTCTCTCTCTCTCTCTCTCTCTTTACACCCCATTTTTGGCGCGCTCTCTCTCTCTCTCTCAAGTTTGGCCTCTCTCTCCACTCGGTCTCTCTTTTCGCTACGCCCGCATTCCCTCATCGCCAATACTCTGGTTGTGCACAAATCGAGGTTGGTACACAATTTTTTTATTTTTGTTTTGTTTTTGTCTTTTTAAATTTATTTTTTGGGAGACTTAGTATATAGAACTTGAAAAAAATGATTGGGTTTAACTTAATGTGATAGGAATTGAAAATATCCTTCGTCAATTTGAGATTTTAGATGGTTTATAATTGATATGTAAACTGATTGTAACGACCAACACATCAAGGACATAGTTGACCTTCGGAGTCATAGTATTATGACTCATAGTGTTATATGTCCGGTCATAATACTATGACCAGTCAGTCATAACAGTATGAGTCATTGTCTATAAGTCAAATTATAACAATATGAGTCAAAATGGCCAGTCATAGTATTATGACCGGTCATAAGGCATTCATAGTGATATGACCGTCCGGTCATAATATTATGACTGAAATGACCCATAGTGTTATGACTCGCTTACTATGATTACCTTATGACCGGCCATTACATAGTGTTATGACTGGCCATTTCTAATGACTCGATGACGATTAGAAGTAATTGCATGTTGATTAACAGTTATTGTTATTGAAATTATTTAGGAATGTCTGCTAGATTGAACGTCTTCACCAAGTACAATAGATATTGGGACCGTGCTTTGAGATACGTCTGTTGTGAAATGAAGGGGATATTGGTCCCCACCAACATAACATATATTGGTCTTATAGATTTGGTGAGAAATGTGTTTGAGATTCGGCCACAAGGAAAAAGTCTATCCTTAAGATATGTTGTTGAAGACGGGGAAGCTCATGTGAAGATACCTTCTGATTATGATGTCACATTCTATCAACGACATCTCTTCCTCCAAAGCCTTTCTTTTCTTCTAAGATGACAAATAATGGCAAAAAATAAATAATAAATACAAAAAAAATAAATAAATACAAAAAAAAACAAGAAAAGTAAACAAAATTGTTAACCAAAGTACTATGACTGACACACTAAGAGTCTGACCATTGAGCGGTCATAGTACTATGACCGACGATCATAATTCTATGACCGCCTATCATGCAGGCTCGTTCATAATGTTATGACTGATGGCTGGTCATAAGGCAGTCACATAGTGTGGTCATAGTACTATGATCGACGGTCATAATGCTATGACCACAGGCTCATCAGTCAGGCAGTCACACTATGTGCTTGCCTGCTTGATGGCCGGTCATAGAATTATGACCATCGGTCATAGTATTATGATCGAACGATGTGTCTGTCTTATGATCGGTCATAATACAATTACCAACCGATCATAATGATATGACCAGCCATCAGGCAGAGTCACAGACCAAATAAGGAGTACAATGATAATAAAAAAATTTTAAATAACTAACCTTATCTGCTTTTATCTCCTCCTCTAAAGCCTTTCTTTTCTTCTAAGATGACAAAAAAATGGTAAAAGAAAAAAAACAATAAATACCTAAGAAAAAAAAAACAAATAAACAAGAAAAGCCAATAAAGTTTTCGCCTTTGTCTCGGAATCCGCCATTGACATCGTCTGTTTTGTGGTTGATTTTTTCGGCGAAGAATGTTAGGAGGATGAGGTTTCCTCGGTTCGTGCTTTTGGGTTAGGCGTTGATTTCTCCGGCGAAGGTTCGTGGGTTCTCGTCGCCTGATTCTGAGTTCGTGGGTTCTCACTGCGTGGGTGGTTGCTGTCGTGGGTTCGTCGCGTGCGTTCGTTTTCCTCCTCATCTCTCTACTACTTGAATATTTGAATTATAAAATGCTTCATAATATATATTCAAGGCTTTAAAACTGAAATGGGGCACAATTGTCATTTTAATTCAAGTAAAAATAACATGGTCCCACTTTTATTGATATGACGATGCTAATTGTGAAAATATATAAAAATGATACTAAAATTAATAATCATTTATTCATGAGTGCTATTATTGAAATTAACCCTAAAAAAAATTACCAATACTCCACATTTTTTTTCCCTGAGATACTATACCGCAAATATAGGTCCATCAAATCAAATTCATATTGGCTAGCAAAAGCTCCTTCTAGCCAAGTCCCGTGGCATAATGGAATTGGATGCTGGCTAGCTAGTTTATTCGTTTTAATGTAAGTTGTAAGTCTCACAAATTGTAGTTCTCAAAAGTAACTTATAATGAATTTTATTGTTGAAGCCTTTTTTTTTTTAATCTAAACTAAAAAAAAATTAAGGCTTAATGGCACTAATTGTTGAATTTTTGTCTATCGAGCACTTTATGATTCGTATGTGCCCCCACATCATGCTGAAATTAATACTGATCTATTTTGTATTTCTTCTAAGGCTAGTTCTTAATTAGTCGTGGAAAATACTATTGATTTATTCAAAAATTAGTCTTGTTTGGCGCACGGGACTAAATAAAATTATAGGACTGCAGAGGATTAATTTGAATTATTCCTGTGTTTTGTAAGTTGACGGATTAGATGACTGAAAATGCAATCTAGCGTTGTATCGTCGAAGTGAGTTAATTTAAATGTAATAATTGATAATTAATTTATTACATAATAATTTATAGAATATAAAATTGAGACGTTAAATTTAAATAAGTATTTTAATAAAAGTTATAATAAAATCATATATTTAGAAGGTAAATGACTTAATTATTTAGCTTATAATTTGTATAGCATATTTATGTTCTATCATTGGCGCTATATGAAAATTGAAATAAAGTTTATTCGTTTGTTTATGAATAAACGTGATACATATATATAAATTAATAATTTTAAGCATTAAGATAAACATAGCATGTGAAAATAATCATTTAAAGTGTTATATCTATATATATGATTAGTATGAAAATATATTTATTTTAAGAGAAATGTTAGCGTCATTTGATACATTGACTCCATTAATATGAAATATTATTATTTAAATAAAAAATAAGAATTCACGTGTCAAACAATAAATGTAAAAAGTGATAGAAAAAGTAATGCTAGAATTTATCTTATTTTAATGATTAAAAATAAACATAAACTAATTCTTTTTCCTAAATCTATTTTGGTTGTCCAAGTGTTGAACTGCGATTAGAGAAAACTATATTGTAGAACTAATTAATGACGTACATGTGGCAAATCCCTAGACGATCTGAGCACACCGCAAGCGTGGGTGTGGGCGATTTTTTTATAATATATCAAATTAGGAAATTTTCTAGTCATAAATTCACAATTGAAGACTTTTGCTTTAAAAAAAAAATCACAATTGAGGACCTCTTCTATAACTCTTTTTACAGAGAGCTATAAGCACTTTTGTCTTCTTTCTTTTTTTTTTTTTTTTTTTTTTTTTTTTTTTTTTTTTTTTTGAATAAGCATAAGAGCTCTGAGCACTTGCTTTAGCATTTTTTTTAGAGCCCGTTTAGTTCGCTGATTTGAGTTTTTAATTTGAGTTGAGATGTGATTTTATATGAGAGCTCTTTACTGTAGTAAAAAAGTTAAATGTGATTGTTTGTGAGAGTTTTTTACTGTAGCAAAACTCGAATTCTAAACTCGAATCAGCGAAATGAACGGGGCCTGAAAATTGAAAAGAGAATAGAGATCATCATTCTTGAAGGTATTCAAGAATTCGGAGAAAATTCTACAGCGTTCACACAATTGTTGATTCAAATAAAGGAGAATAATTAAAAAAAATTAAAAGGTTAGAAATGCTTTGATGGCTCAAAATTATTTTCCGAATAGATAATATGACTATAGGAGATGGGTTTAGGAAAAAATTTTAAAATCTCAACGTGTTGCGTTTTACGTTATTTCATAGCCAGCACAAAATGTTGGATTACTTTTTGGCCTGTATGGTCAAATTTTTGTTACCAAATATTGAATTAGGATTAATAATTTAATAATCTTAACCTCAATCCGAATCTGATGTGCCAAACACACCTCATTGCTGCAAATACTTATTTTTTTAAAATTAAATTGAAGTTTCAAACAATGTGAGAGTATCAATATTAATCAAATAACATATGCATGTTTAATTCAAATATTATTTATCAATTATATTTTAATAAACGGGTTGTCTTTTATTACATTATTTGATGTCTAAAAGATAATAAACAAATTAGTACTCAAAATTTTATTTGTTACCCAAAATTGCAAAAATCATTACCACGGCTTTTTTTTATTATTTCTTTTTTTTTCTTTTTGAGTCGGAAAAGACTCTCAAATATCAGATTAACAATATTTTAATGGAAAATAGTAAAAAATATGTCAATATAAAAAGCTTAAAAAGTATATAGGCCAATTTTTAATTATAAAAATTAATAGACCATAACTTGTCAAGTTATGGTTCATAATCAGATAAGTTATGGACAAATTTATCAAGTTATGATTCATAATCAGACAAGTTATGGATAAAAATCGTGAATTATGGACAATAACTTGTCAAGTTATGGTTTAGAACTAGACAAGTTATGAACGAAAATAATAATTTAAACTATTTATTAACTTATATAAATTATTAACCTATTAATTTTAATTCATCTCAAGTCTCGGTCTATTTTTATTTTTCTCCCTAACTTTAACCCAAAATTAACTGCGGTACTTTCCGAAAAAAAAACGAACTAACTTAACTGCCCTTTGAAGCACGTGCTTTCTTTGTCGTCTCCTCTTCTAGAAGAACTAGAAGCCAAGGTTGACGAACTACACAAGTCAAGCTTCGCATTTGTGACTTGTCTATACTTTATTATTATTACTATTATTTTTATTATTATCAAGGCCCCTGAAAATTTAATTTTAGAGAAAAAATAAAAAAAAATGAAAAATCAGTCCCACATTTTTCTTTAAACACCAACAAACAAACTACTAAATCCTAGTTTAATTTCTTAAGGACCCATTTCAATCTCCTCTTCTCTGCTTCAAAAATACAAAGAAAAACAGGAAAATAATGGCTCCCAATTCATTTCTATGTTCTTCTTCATATCCGATTTTCAGTGTTGTACTTTTGCTTCTTCTTTATTTATTTGGTCAGTCTTATTCTTACGACGACCAAATTCCATTAAACAGCTTTACCATTTCCAGCTTCAGCTACCCTCCGACCACTCTCCGGGCGTTTGAGTTGCGTTACATCAGAGGTTTGTGAGCTATTTAACGATGACCCTTTTCAGAATTTTATTGTTTGAATACATGGTGTCTTAAGAATTTAAGGTTGTTATCGTTATTGGGTATTTGACAAAATTCTTCCTTTTCTGTCTCTTTTTGAAGAATTGGTGTAATTTGCACGAGTAAAAGGCGATTCTCGTTTTTATCTCGTACTTACCATTACAGTTTTCGAAGTCAAAATCGTTTTTTAGTCAATGACTTGATTAATCTTAGTGCATTCCCAATTATTAATTACTGGTGTTAATTTGAGTTTTTGCTTGCTATGTAATTTTGATGTCATAAATTTTTACTTGCAATTTTTATTTATTTATAAATATTTGTAACTTCATGGTTGTTAAATAATTGCTTGTCCTGATTTGCGAACGTTTATATGCTAACGTAGAATGTTTCCGAAGCCTTAGTTAGAACATGTGGGCAAATTTTTTTCTAATGTGGGTTGGCTTTCTTCTCAATTAGAATTAGTAATGAGATGTTTTAAATTAACTAAGTCATTATTAACTAGAATGAGTAAAAAAAGAGTTTACTTTGTCAAATAATATATCTACATGGACTACTTTTATTTATTGAAATACAATGACATATCATAATGATTAATTGTGCAATTTATTTTAATTTGTGGTTTTGGTGTTTTGGTTTGTCCCAGTTGAATTGCCACCATGGTTCTCTTCAATGTCATTGGTAATGCACTCAGATGTTGACCTTGTAAGTGTTCGTAGCATCTTTGAAGAATAAATAGAATTCATCAAGTATATCACCCACCTGTTTGTACTTAATTCTTGCAGGCTACTTGATTTTGTAGGCTTTGCTTTTCTCCAGCTATCTCTTCTCATGGTTTCCTTGTTTTTCTATAAGTTATTCTATAAAGAATTAAGTAGGGGCATACTTCTGATAGATTATTCAAGTCTCTAAGTCTGTCTTCTTGATTGTATCATACTAATTCTGGTTTGACATCCTTTTTGCTTTTCCGCTGTGTATTGTCTCCAAACAGAGACACAAAAAAACTTGCGCTCTAAAAGGCACAGAAACTTATGTGTGTTTCTATGTTTGTTACTTATGTGTGTTTCTATGTTTCAGGGTAATGTAAACATAGAAAAGGTTCCTAAAAGTAAGCTGCCAATAATTTGCTTTAGGGGTGGCAGCCCCCCACTTCCAGATGTCAATGGTTCTCCAAAGGATTCGGGCAGTTCTGGTAGGTGTAACATATCCTTTGTCTGTTTCACGGGTTTGAACCAAGAAGTTTTGGTTCAAACAGTTTTTTGCTACGGTGCTTTTCTTACAAACATGTAAACAAATTTGAATTTCTGTTCAAACTTTCTATTCAAACCTATAAACCAAATGGGCAAATAGTTTTTGAAATTGTTAAACTGTTACTGAATATACAAGTTCATCCACATAAGTCTTGATTTTGCAACTGCACAATGCACGTGTTGAAAAGCCTTATAGAGTATTATGTAATAGTTATGTATCTTACCTGATAAGTATGGCACCACCAATACTCCACAGATTTTGTGTTTACTGAGTTCTAAATGACAATGTTGTTTCTCAACTATTTGAAAAGATGGTTAGTCAGAGATTTTTGGTAATTAAAGTTTTAGTTGTATGCTCAACTTGTTTTGTTCAAGTATAGGTATTTCGACTTGAGAGTATAATCAATATAAATATATATATATATATATATTTTTTTTTGAATTATAGTCTAATCAAGATTATACCAAGGCTAATGTTTAAATTTTCTGCTGTGACAGTTTTAGTTCCTGCCTTCAATAGTTCATTTGAAGGAATACAGGCTCTTCATAATGGAGAGCAGTGCTATCCTATGCACAAAAACTTCACAGTTAATTTGACAAATGAGCAGGTCTGACCCTTTACTTATGACATTCATTTTGTCTGGATATAATATCATAACGTTTCGTATCTAGTTGTTTGTGGTATAAATGAGCCATGCAAACATCAGAGCTTTTGTGGCATCTATTCATTTTTTCTTTTTTAACTCTTTCCTTTTCCTCTCGCTCTTGGTCTTTTACTTTTGGTTCTTGAGTAACATTAATTTACAACTTGTTCTTCAGATATCTTTTGGAGTTTGGTATTTTGGCCTATTTAATGGCATTGGACCTACAAGGACGCAATCAAAGATGGTAATAGTTCTAAATTACTTTAAATTCTTTTATCTCCTTTTTACATAATATATATATATATATTCACTTGAGTTTTATAGGTTTATTATGTACATCTCTTTTCCTTTTATCAAAATGAAGTTTGAGGCGACGCATCTATAATTTTTTCCATACGGTTTTGTGGGTCTGAATTCTGAAAAGGAGAATAGAAAAGAAGCAACATGCTATAGAAGCTTTACCATATTTCATCTTTAAATGTAGAAGTAAATTTCAACATATAATTACCTAATTTTGTAAAAATCTGATGGCTCCACAGAGCTACCCCTATTGGCTTCACTGAATTGTTGTCTACATTTCCTTATGACACAGCCTAGAATTGGTAGATTCATTTCCTTTGTTTTTTTCAAGCATTCTTCTTGCATTAATTCTAAATATTCCTATATTGTTTGGATATTTTAACTAGAGCTTATGCCTGCAATGCAGATTAGTCGTGGTCCGGCATACTCCTTCAGTGCCAACATTACTGTGGAAGGATGTACAACCTCAACCATGTTGGGCCAATACTGCAACCAGACAATTGATTCGCTTTTATGTTCTACCTATAGCTACAGTATTTCAGCAAATTTTTCAGAAGCTATGTTGTATAACCAAACAATGAATATTATATCCTGCAAAAATAATTTCGAAACTTCTTGTCATGGGGATGGTGAACAAAAAGTCTACACTTTGGACGTAATGGGACTTGCTGAGGAGTTGCAGATTACAGCTAGGAATATCAGTTTTAATGTAACTCCAAATAACACTGGCAATTTTAGTGAACTCAAATTAATGTGTATTGTTCGACATGGTGCTATGCCATCAACGACTTTGCATGATTATTCCAGTGACATAAGCAAAGCCCCTTTGTTGATTCGCTCACCAAAGATCGGTCGATGGTATATTAGCCTCTTACCTGTTAATCTATCAAAAGAATTTAGTGGAATTCAGGGAACTGATATTAAGGTTTGCTATTCTATGGAGGCAAAAGTGCTTCAATGTCCACTGGGGAAGGCTGGACCAAATTGTACGTGGGAGAAATTCATTCTTCAGGTGACATTGCACTTAAATATGTTTTCTTCTAGGAAGTTTCTTCTTTTGTGAAGTTTAATTTCCACTATTACTTGTGCCCATTGGTGATCTTAGCTAATATGGAACATAAACAGAGATCGAGTTTTGATGAGAAGTAATAAATAGTGATTGTTAGTTATGTAGGACAGCTGCACACAAGTTAGCTCATTAAGAAAACGAATGCACGTGAACCTGTAGAAGATTCCAGTTGGCCGTGACTAAATCTTGAAAACTCTTGAATTTGTAATAAGTGATTAATCTATATATTGACACATGACATTTAGAAATTAACAGGATGAAATGTTGGGATGATGCTTTTGCTTTGGAAGTTTCATTTTGATTGCTGCCATATCTAAAAATGGAATGAGCTTTTGATTCTGTCTCTGATAATGTTTCTTGCTTAAAAGCATGTCTTAAAACAGCTTCTTTTACGTACTACTTTATCTTCATCTTGATGCTTCAAGAAAATTATTCGCAGGAGTAATTTATTGACAAGCTGAGAATGGTTATCTGCAGACAGTTCTCAGGAGAGGTTCAGCACCATTTGAATCCTATTATTTGCCGGTCAGCAGAAAAGTGACTTCAAATGGAGCTAATTTTCCTCTCGAACCCATTCTTACCAATACCTCATATGGTGAAGAACCGGATAAGGCTTGGACTTATTTTGTTTTGGACATTCCTAGAGGTGCTGCCGGAGGAAATATCCACATCCAACTAACATCAGACACGAAGATTACTTCTGAAATATATGCTAGATTTGGCGGATATCCAACTCTTGATAGCTGGAACTATTATTATGCTAACAAGACAAGAAACAGTGATGGCTCCATGTTTTTCAAGTTATATAATTCAAGCGAAGAAAAGCTTGATTTTTACATTCTATCTATTAGGGAAGGAACATGGGGTTTTGGATTAAGGCGTAGGAATGACACCAACGTTGCTTCCAGAGATCAGACAACTATGTCTATTTCCCTTGAAAGGTGCCCCAAAAGGTGCTCTTCTCACGGGGAATGCAAATTTGCCCTGGATGCAAGTGGTTTAGCGTTATACAGGTTATTTATTCAGCCCTACCCTACTACTTTTTCTTGTCTGCTACATTTCAGGCATTCTCAACAATTTTTTTTTTTTTTTTTAATGCTTAACTGAGTTTTTTTACCTATCATTGTGGCATTACTACATTTTACTTTAGGGTTAATAGCTCTGTTAGTCCCTGAACTTTGAACATAGTTATATTTTGATCCATGAACTTTTAATTTAGGCATATTTACTTTAGTCCCTGAACTTTCATTTTTTGACCATTCTGGTCCCTGATAGTACAATTGACGAATGATTTCTATAATTTAGCCTAGATAATCAATTCATTATCACATAATAAGAGAAAATTCTACTTAAATAGTTACAAATATGCAAAATGTTATAGTTGTTAATAGGTTTTAGTAGTAACAAAGAGAAAATTTTGCATATAACGTAATTCTTAAAATTTTAAATCATCACATGATGGGCACTTGTTTAACTTTGTTAAATTTTAGACATCGTTTATCAACTTTACTGTCATGGACTTAAACCGTCAAAAAAATGAAAGTTTAGGGGCTAAAAATATGCCTCAATTAAAAGTTCAGGGACCAAAATGTCACTATGCTCAAAATCCAGGGACTAACAGAGCTATTAACCCTTTAATGATAATCTGTTAATATGATTTGTGTTTGTTCTCCTTTTTTCTCAGCTACTGCTCCTGTGATCGAAACCATGGAGGCTTTGATTGTAGTGTTGAAATTGTATCACGTCAAGGTATGTTATTTTGAATGATTGGTCTTCATAATATCCTATTCTTAAAATTTTGTACCGTTATCTATTTTCTTCAACTCGTACTTAATTGTTAGAGATTTAAGACCTTTGTTTACATTGGAAAACTCGGTTTTTAGGGCACATATGGCAATCCGTTTCTCTTATTGCATCAAATGCTGCAGCTGCATTTCCGGCCTTTTGGGCCCTTCGCCAGAAGGTAATCCATACATTTTTTTTCAAGTGAACTGACAATGGTGAGAACTTGTGTTGTATACAAATTTTTTTTGTATGTTATAGTGTTTGGCTTTGTCATATTAAGATAGTGTATTAATTTTGAGGATTGTATTAAATTATATGATGTGTGAATACTGCCAAACACTGTAACAATATGGAGTGTTAATACAGCATACTAAACATGCCCAAAATGATAGGTTCCGTGATGTTCATGAGTATGAAGGACTTCAATGATATCAATAGTGATAACGGGGGTTGCCTCCGCTGTATGGCCAATTTTCCAAGAAATTTCAGTTTTTTTTCAAGTACATGGGAAATACATGATTTTTATTCCCTTCATATAAGATATAACTCAATTTATTTGTTCTGCAAGTGCGTTATAAATTTCTCTATGCAGGCATTAGCAGAATGGATAGTATTTACAACTAGTGGAATTTCAAGTGGATTATATCATGCATGTGATGTCGGAACGTGGTGTGCATTATCCTTTAATGTCTTGCAGGTAAAAGTATACTTGTTCTTCTATACTTAAGGGTGTAGTTTTGGTGGAACCTTGGTTTTTAAATTGTCGAAAGATTTTTGCTAATTGATTTTGTTTTTATGAACTGAAGAAATCTTGTAAACACCTCTTTAAGTGAGATAAAAGGGGAAAACTGTATAAACATCTTGCAATTTCTTAATTGAATGACACATCAATTGGTAAATTTGAAAATGTTTCAGTTCCTGGACTTCTGGCTCTCTTTCATGGCTGTGGTGAGCACTTTTGTGTACTTAGCTACGATTGATGAAGCCTTTAAGAGAGCGATACACACAGCTGTTGCTATCATTACTGCTCTTCTGGCGATCACTAAGGCAACCAGGTACCTTGAACTGACAAATATATCTGATGCTTTTAAAATCGCAATCCTGTTTTAGCTACCATGCCAGGCATTAAATCTAAATATAGGAAGTTTGCAGATCTTCCAACATTATTCTCGTTATAGCAATCGGAACTTTGGGGCTACTTGTTGGATGGCTTATAGAATACTCTTTTAAGCTCAGATCATTTTCCTTGCCGCCTATTGGATTCTGCTTAACTATGCTTGACAGGTGGGTTTCTAAACTAAGTTAACCATGAGGTTTCTGAGAAGAAGAAAGAAAACCGCAACCATAAATCCGATTTAGCGCATTAAGTTAAGTTTTAAAATGAATATGTTTGGTGTATGTAAACTATGATGGTAAGCAATCAGTTAAAACTATAGCTGAAACCCATTTACATCACATAAGTTGGGACATAGTAATATTGTTGTAAATTCCAGTTCTCTTCTTAGAAGGCCTCGAAACTTTTGTCACTGCAGAGGGCAAGCTGTTAGAGGTTGGCTTCATAATCTTATCAAGAGAATCTTTAAACGATTTCACTGGGGCTATGTTCTTGCTGGATTTACCGCACTGGCCATGGCAGCAATAAGCTGGAAACTGGAGACCAGCGAAAGTTACTGGATTTGGCATAGGTACTACTATGATCCTTCCCTCTTCCCTCCCTCTCCCTTGCTCTCTTTCTCGGTTAATTGATTCTTCCCTTCGCAGCATATGGCATGTGACAATATACACATCTTCATTCTTCTTCCTCTGCTCGAAAGCAAATAATGTAAATAACGACGAAGAAGGACCCCCTGATCGAAACTATGAGTTGGCTCGGCAGGATTCGATCCCAAGAGGTGAATAGAGAAAAAAAAGTTTATAGAAAAAGACCAAAAAATAAACAAAAAAGAAGAGAGACGGAAAACGTTGCACAAGTAATGCTGTAGAGAAGGGGAGAAAAATAGAAATTCATTGAAGAAAGAAAGTGTGAAAATTTACGCCAAGAAAGTAGTAAGATACATCAGGTTGCATCACCTATGATGTTTCTTGTACCAAATAATTAGTCCCCTAGTTGAGCCAACCGAAGCATTACTTTTGATCTTCGTACATTCTCCTCCTTGTACAATTTAAGTAAGATTCCCTCCCCAATTTTTGAAAATGGTTTTGGGAGAGGAGATATTGTTCTGCAAGTATCTTTGTACATGAGTAGGATCATAAACTAGAAATGTTACAGATGTCATTGACGAATATTAACTTAGTCGGGTGAGTGCAAAAGCTATAGTTAACTTCTTTTATTTATTTATTTTTTCGTGTATGGTATTTTATTAATTATATTATAGCAGGTATGCAGTTTTCTTGTCTTCAATTATGTAGAAGACAAATTTTGTCTCGGCCAAGGCGGTGTTTTCATCATGAAAATTCTTATCCTGTTTGTTGGGGCATCCAATCAGCTTAGCGGCAAAGAGTAAACATGCATTATTATGTCTAGGATAAGATAATGATAGATTAAAGGATTATTTGTGTAGTTTTGAATAGAAGGAAAAAACTATTTTTATTGTTGATAATGATAATCGGCAGAATACATAAGTTATTTATAGAGCAAATAAACGTAACTTAGATTCCACAATAATAGGAATATCCTAACTAACCAAGACCCGACCTAAATCAGGTTGTTATTCAAAACTGAAAAACTAAAAATCCTCCTAATATCTCGACACTCCCCCTCAAGTTGGCGCATATATGTTTATCATGCCCAACTTGCTTACAAGATCTTCAAAAACTGGTCTGAATAAGCCCTTAGTAAGAATATCTGCAAGTTGCTGGTTTGTTGGAACAAATGGCATGCAGATTATTCCTTCTTCAAGTTTCTCTCGGATAAAATGCCTGTCAATTTTGATGTGCTTGGTTCGATCATGTTGAACCGGGTTATTGGCGATGGAAATGGCAGCTTTGTTGTCGCAATACAGCTTCATTGCCATGTCTATCGGTTGTTTCAATTCCTCCATAAGACGCTTCAGCCATAGTAGCTCACACGCACGATGAGCCATTGCTCTGTATTCGGATTCTGCAGTACTGTGAGAAACTACATTTTGTTTTTTGCTACGCCAGGTTACAAGGTTTCCCCAGACAAAGGTACAGTATCATGAGGTAGATCTTCGATCAGAGATGACTCCTGCATAATCAGCATCAGTGTATGCCTCCACTATACGTTGTCCAGTTTTGGTGAAGAATAATCCTTTCCCTGGACTGCCTTTTAGATATCTAATGATCCTGAAAACAGCCTCTAGATGTTCTTCACATGGTGAGTGCATAAACTGACTTACAAGGCTTACAGCGAAGGCTATGTTTGGCTGTGTGTGGGACAAGTAAATTAACTTTCCTACCAGTTTCTGGTATTGAGCCACGTCCACAAGTACTCTATCTTCAATGCCGCTTAGCTTTTGATTAGGATCAATGGGCGTTTCTGCCGGTTTACATCCACTCATCCCTATTTCTCTTAACAAGTCTAGCACATACTTCCTTTGTGACACAACAATTCCCCTTTTTAAGCGAGCAACCTCCATTCCAAGGAAGTATTTTAGTGCTCCAAGATCTTTTATTTCAAACTCAGTTGCTAAGGTTTCTTTCAACCTCCTTATTTCAGCCTCATCATCACCAGTGAGAATTATGTCATCTACATAGACAACCAGAACTGTGATCTTACCCTTCATTGAATGCTTTACAAACATTGTATGGTCACTCTGTCCTTGCACATAGTTCTGCTTCTTTATTGAGCCTGCAAATTTATCAAACCAGGCCCTTGGTGATTGCTTGAGGCCATATAGTGATTTCTTCAACTTGCAGACTTTGGTTCCAAACTTCCCTTCAAAGCCTGGGGGCGCTTCCATATAGACCTCCTCCTCTAGATCTCCGTTCAAGAAGGCATTTTTTACATCTAGCTGCTACAGAGGCTAGTCAAGATTAGCAGCTAAGGATAATACTACTCTTATTGTGTTCAACTTCGCCACAGGTGCAAACGTCTCCAAGTAGTCTATGCCATAAGTTTGTGTGTATCCTTTCGCCACCAACCTTGCTTTGTATCGTTCGAGAGAGCCATCTGAGTTGTACTTGGTGGTGAATACCCATTTGCAACCCACAGTAGTTTTTCCTTTGGTAGTGCAACTTCTTCCCACATTTGATTCTTCTCTAGTGCCCTCATCTCTTCAAAAACAGCTTCCCTCCACTATGGAACCTGTAAAGCATCCTGTATAGTTTTTGGAATCTCCACAGAAGACAAATGAGAAGTGAAGGCAAAGAAAGATGGTGACAAGTGCTTGTAGGAGATGAAGTTAGATAAAGAATGTTGGGTGCAACTTCTAATGCCTTTTCTAATTGCAATAGGCATATCCAGGTTATTCCTAGAATCAGAATCAGGTGACATGTGATCACTCGCACTCTTGTCAATTGAAGAATTGCCTGGATCACTTTCTGAGTTCATTACCTTCCTTAGTTCCAACTCATGGCTGTGCAGATTGGTGGCAGCAGCTTTATTTCTCTTTTTTTTCTGCCTTCTCAAATAAACCTGTATTTCAGCACCTGTTTTTGGCCTTTCTTCGGTTCTGCTCACTTCTTGAATATCACGACTGTAGGCAGTGGGGTTCCTCTCAGAATCTGTGGTAATTTCAGTGGGAATAGGAAGGACAACAGGCTTTTGTTGTTCTGGTTTTTCCTCTTGCCTCAAAGTTCTAGGTTCATCTGTTTCAAGCCTAATGAGATCCTCATATTGGTCTATCTTTTGCGAATCTTCATGTCTAATCTCCCCTGAAGATGAGCTCCAAAATATGGTGTATTTTCAAAAAAAGTGACATCAAGACTTACAAACATTTTCCTGGTGACCGGATCAAAGCACTTATACCCTTTTTGGGTTGGAGCATAACCTAAAAACACACACTTCCTTGCCCTAGGATCAAATTTCCCTCTATTCCTATCATGAATGTGAACGAAAGCCATGCAGCCAAATATTTTTAGAGGTAGGGTGGTAGAGATTCTTTGAAGTGGAAAGCAGGTTTTGAGCACTTCTAGTGGGGTCCTACGGTTCAAAATCCTCAAAGGCACTCTATTGATGAGGTATATTGCAGTGAGAACAGCTTCTCCCCATAGGTATTTTGGAACATGATTGGTGAACAATAATGCTCGTGCTACCTCTAAAATGTGCTTATTTTTCCACTCTGCAATCCCATTTTGTTGGGGGGTATCACTACACGAGCTTTGATGAATAATTCCCTTGTCGACAAAGTATTTTCCTAGGATCTCATTAAAGTACTCTTTGCCATTATCACTCCTAAATACCTGAATGGAAGCTTGGAATTGTGTTTTCACCATATTATGAAACATTTTGAACACTCCCTCAACTTCTGATTTTTCTTTTAGCAGGTATACCCAACTTGTCCTAGTGTGATCATCTATGAACGTCACAAACCATTTTTTTTTCTGCGTTAGTTATCCGTGAGGGACCCCATACGTCACTGTGAATTAGTGCAAAAGGTTGTGAAGGCTTATATGACAAAGGCAAAAAAAGCAGTTCGATGGTATTTTGCTAACTCACAAATTTCACACTGAAATGAAGAAGGATCTTTATAAACAAATAACTTTGGAAACAAGAGTTTGAGATAATGAAAATTTGGATGTTGTAACCTAAAATGCCAAATAATTATTTCATTCTCACTAGACACTGAGAAAGACTTAAAACATGTGCTTTGTACGGCTTTATTAGATCCGGATCCATCTTCAAAGAAATAAAGGCCACCACTTTCTCTAACACTGCCAATCGTCTTCCCCGAGGTGAGGTCCTGAAATTTACAATGAGAAGGATAGAAGTTAGCTGTGCAATTGAGATCTTTAGTGAATTTACTAATGGACAAGAGATTGCATGAAAGCTTTGGGACGTGAAGGACATTATGAATGATAAGGTTAGGAGTTAAAGGAATGGATCTTGTTCTGGCAATTGCAGAGAGGGAGCCATCTGCAACGCGGATTTTCTTGTTTCCTGCAGACGGATTATACGAAGAAAAAATTTTTGAATTGCTGGTCATATGGTCAGTGGCTCCGGAGTCAATAATCTAAGGAACTGAGGTTACACATGTTAGAACTGAGTGATTACCTTGCTGGGCTATGGAACAAGAAGGAGAAATAGACATTTTTTGAGATTGAAAAAACTTATACAGGTGCTCTAGTTGTTCTTTTGTGAATGGTGTTGTTTCCGAATTGATTTGCTGCACTTGAGAATCTTCATTCGCAGTTTGAAGTGCATGACCGTCTCCGGTCTGTTTTTTCTTCAAATTTGGAGGCTTCCCATGTATCTTCCAGCAGGTATCCCTAGTGTGCCATGGTTTCTTGCAGTGGTGACACCATGGCTTTTTCTTCTTGTCTCCTTCATCATATCCCCGGGTCACCAAAGCGGATATATCTGCTTCTATTGTTGTTTCAGGGACCACATCCTTCAACATAGTATGTTGTATGGACTCCTCACGTCGCACCTCTGAAAAAGCTTCTCGCAGTGAAGGAAGAGGTTTGTTTCCGAGAATCCTGCCTCTTACTTCATCCAGGCTTCTATTGAGTCCAGCCAATAACATATACACACGATCGTTTTCTTCTTTTTTCTTGAATCTTGCACAATCGTTTGGGCTCTCCCATTCTTCATCATTGTACTGATCTAACTCCTACCATAAAGTCAACATCTCATTATAGTAGACAGACACTTTTCGGTTTCCTTGCTTAGATTGCCACAATTGAGATTTCACTTCAAATATTTGTGATGAATTCTCCAAGTCTGAGTAGCATTCTTTCACTGCTTCCCAGACATCTTTTGCGGTTGGAAGAAATAAATATGGTTTCGCTATGGCAGGTTCCATTGAGTTCAGCAACCATGACATAACATGGGAATTGTTTGAACCCCAGTCAGCCAATTTTGGATCATCAGCAGCAGGTTTCTTCGCCGCCCCCGTAAAGTAGCCCATCCTTCGTTTTCCATCGATTGCCAGCTTCATCGATTGCGCCCACTTGAGATAGTTCGTGCCATCCAATTTGTGCACCATCAACTTTGAGTTTGGTATGTGCTCGAATTCACCTGGATTGATCGATTCTTGGGGCCGAGAATTTTCAGATGTTGCATCTGATGCGGTGGCGCCCCTGCTTGCTCCGGTCATCGCCGTTTTCACCATTGTTTTTTCCTCTTAAAGAGCCGAGGCTCTGATACCATGTAGTTTTGAATAGAAGGAAAAAACTATTCTTATTGATGATAATGATAATCGGCAGAATACATAAGTTATTTATAGAGCAAATAAACGTAACCTAGATTCCACAATAATAGGAATATCCTAACTAACCAAGACCCGACCTAAATCAGGTTGTTATTCAAAACTGAAAAACTAAAAATCCTCCTAATATCTCGACAATTTGCATAAATGCACCCAAAGTATGTACCTTGTTTCAAAATGTCTTTAATTTTTTAAAATAGTTCAAAACACCCCTCGATATACAGAAAATCATTCAAAACGCGCCCTCCATCTAATTTTGTCTATAACTTAATGAAATTTGCTGATGTGGATTCGTTATTAATTAAATATGTAAAATGATTAATAGAGAGAGGAAGCACGAGAAAATAGTAATAGAGAGAGAGAGATCACGAGAAAGAGATAAGAGAGAGAAAGAGGCTTGCGAGCGGCAGACTAGCGCGTCACCCGCTTGTTGGCCCTCGTTCTCCGTTTGGGAGGTTGCCATCAGTCAATCTTTGCGCTGTTGGGAGTCATGCCGCCATAGGAGGAAGTTTGGTTCGGGGTCGAAGCTCGTCGTCGCTCATCTAGGCCCATTCTTGTGGGGGGAAGAGCTGTCAGCGTTTGCAAAGGAGGAAGGACGCTCGGCTCACTACGATGGTCGGTCTAGGTCGGAGGGGGGATGCCGTTGGCTCGGCGGAGGATTGTCGCCATGGGCTGGGCGAATTTGGCTGCCATTCGGTGGTTGTCGGCGTTGAGGGACTCTCCTGTGGTTGGGGGGTTCGTGTCGCCGACGATGAGTAGGATGGGGTGGATCTGGGACGTCCAAGGTGTCTTCCGTGGAGGGGTCATGAGACCTGTTAGTGCCGGTGGGTTTTTGGTGTGGAGGGTTTTCAGATCGACAAAGAAGACGACGGCGACGTGGTCAAGGCGGCTCGAAGATCGGCGAAGATAATCTGGAGCTTTTCTTATTGATATTACTAAGGGCACGTTTAGTTCGTTGATTCGAGTTGATGTGACTTTATATGAGGGCTTTTTACTGTAACAAAAAAGTTAGATGTGATTGTTTCTAAGAGTTTTTTATTATAGCAAAACTCGAATCTGTAAAATGAATGGGGCTTAAGTAATTTGGTAATTCAAATTCGAATTCTTCCTTTTTTTTCTCACCGATCTGTTATATGACGTTGTGTTCATGGATTCGGAACCATGATTCATGATTCTAATTTTTAAAATTTAAATTTTTTGTGAGAGAAAAATACTATAGAGAATCAATAACCATGATTCAAAACTAGGGACGAACCCTTAAAACAAACATCTCATTAGTTTGATTTTTGTTCCCACTAGATTAGTGTTTGAATTTGCATTGTTATGAAGTAATTAACATCCTTAAAGCTCTGATCTTTCTTTTTTCTCTATTTGTTTTGTTTTTATTACTTTTTAATAAGATAATCATTTTCATTCATTCAATTAGAACTTAATACCTTTAATTAATATTTAATGTTATGCCACATCAACAATCTATTTGAATTATAGACAGAAGTTAATAGAGGGGCATTTTGATTCATTTTTTTAAATATGAAGGGGTGTTTTAAACTCTTTTAAAAACTCAAGAGGCATTTTGAAATAAGATACATTTTTCGCAGAGCATTTATGAAAATAATCATAGATTAAACTTTGTTGAAGTGAAATGAATTTGTTCACCAACAAAATGATAAACAAGTAAACTTTTTGGCTGGTAAAAATAGATGTATACTGACTGCTAGAAAGTGGGCAGGATACAAGCTATTTTATTTCTTTTCCATACTGGAAAATACTAGTCTTGAAAGAGCTTTTTTATTGCTACTTGAGCCATATAAATCGTTGGCCAACAGAAGCTTTAAGAATTCAACAAATAATTGTACGTGCATCATGCCAAGGCTGTGAATCGACCAAAATCCTACTTTTAAAAGTGAAATAAGCATCCACTAGAAGAATTTGGATACAAACAAATAATATTCAGTAGGCTACATACAATTCTCTTATTTACATGCATAGCACCCCAAGAATAATAGACACAATCATAAAAAATTTAAGAATAATACACAATATCTGGACGAAGACCCATCTTAAAATAAAATACCTTTATAGTCTCCAAATGACTGGACATGCAAAGCATTGTGAAACATTTGCTTCCTCAACCATGACGGTGTGACCCACCACAAACACTCAACAGTTGAAACACAAAGCGCAACCTGTTTGGTGCTTTATCTTGAACGGAACCTTGTGTCGTTAAGCCTGTATCTAAATGAGGCAGAAGTCCTTTGCCTTGCCTGAGCTCTCTCATCTATAGGTCATTCGTCTCTTGTTGAAGTGCTTCTCTGGGAACGTGTGGAAAATGAACGGAAGTCATTGCCCGATAGTTCCCTGTAATCTTTGCGGATACTCCAAAGGACCTCCGCACACCTTCGCATGTTAGGCCGGTTCTGTCTGCGTGGCGCCAAGCACTGTAAGGCTAGTTCAAGAAGCTTTTCAAGGGCCAGGTTATTTGCTGCAGTATGTTCCAGTCTTGGATCCAAGGTTGATAGAGCATCACCATCAGCAAACTTCTTCATGGCCTGCAAAACCAATCCATGTCACATTGTGTTCCTATAGAGCTTAAATGAGCATCCGCCATGCACTCTAATTAAGTGGGAGCATCTTTGACAGAGATGTGCTCTCGGAACTATGACACCTTGGGTACATTGCCCCGACAAGAAAAGTTTAGGCACGTTTGCTCAATGCCCTGTAAATTTTTGTAAATCTTCGCAATGTCAGCAAACCCTTAATTTCTTTCTTTTTTTTTTTTTTACTGATTTGGTCAAGTGGCAGCCACGTAATTGTTTATGAAGTTCCCTATGATTATCCTTACAAACAATACATGCGGTTGTGACTTGTCACCATTCCATTTCAAATATTTTGCCTAGGTTGAAGGTTGATGGACATTGGAAGGATTACGAAGTTCATGTAATGAGCCTAAATATTTTATAAGGAAAAAAAAATGTCAAAGGTACCATAGGTAAGAGTGATAAAATGCAATCTGCCCAAAATTTGAGAATATTAGAAGCGAAGAAGATGAGGTTCAAACCCATTTTGCAGTGATCCGCTCCTTCAGTTCCCGTTTTGCTTCAATGGGGCGCCTTCCTGTGGCTAGTTCCACCAATAACACACCAAATGAGTAGACATCACTTTTCTCAGTAAGCTGATAGGTCCTAAGGTATTCTGGGTCCAAGTAGCCAGCAGTTCCTTTGACTTGGGTGGAAACATGGGTGGCACCTGAATCACTGTCAGCTGCTAGTCGTGCAAACCCGAAGTCAGCTACTTTGGCACGAAAATTCTCTGTGAGGAGAATGTTGGAAGACTTTATGTCTCTATGAATAATAGGGTGATCTGCAGAGAACTTGAGAAGTGATTAAAATCTCTTCATTCCCATTTCAAGAACCACAAGAAAACACACTTTTGAGGAATCAAAACTGAACTTTTCTGCTAGAAAAACTGATACCTGTGTACATATGGAGATAGGTGATGGCATGAGCCACGTCTATTGCAATGTCAAGCCTTGCAGCGAAGTCAAGAATGTTTCCATGCAAACCTGCATAGTTTCTTGTATTTTAGATGCTTAAGTTCACACATAAACCTACACATATGCACGTAGATGCAATTTGCGCAGGCTCACAAAGAGGCGGAATGAAGCACTCACAATCTAAATGTTCTCTTAGCGTTCCATTTGGAACATATTCCACAATAACAATTCTTTCATCTTCGTGCTCCAAAAACCCGTGAAATTTGACCAAATTCAAATGTTCCACTTGAGCAAGTGTTCGGACCTCACTCTGAAACTGCACCCCCAATTGTTTGTCGTACGCACTCTAGAAAAGAAACTTAACCATGAGTTAGTCAACCTCGATCCAAAGCATTACCCTACCTCTGTAAAAGAAATGGAGCATTACTACTTATGAGTCTTGTCATGTCTAACCTTTTTGGCACGCTTTAATGCAACAAAGGTACCATCTGAGAGTCTTCCTTTGTAAACCGTCCCGAAACCACCTTGTCCTATCTTGAAAGGTGGGGCAAAGTTCCTCGTGGCCTTTAAGATTTCGTCAATGGTGAATTTTTCGTTGGGAGGTTCTCTTCCATGGGTTGATTTATTTTGATTGGTGTATATACCGTAATTCGAACTGCGTCTTCTCTCGCTACGAGATGCCGAACCCTCCGATTTAACTGAGAAACAACAACTTTTATTATTCTATCTCATCGACACACAAAAATATTTATTCAATTTCAACATGTAGTTAGTGCTCACACACCTTAAAGTAACAGGACACCAAAAAAATAAGCATTATAAATGCTTATAAATGTTTTGTAAGCATTATAAACATTTCTCCCTACACACTTATGTACAACCACGCTAAATTTTGTACTTTTCTTCTTTTGGAACTTCATTATCTAAAATCACACTCTTCTTAATCTAAATAGCATCTAAAGTTACAAACCCGTCGTACTAAAAGTTTCATGTCTTGACACATCAAATCAGGAGTTCATTTGAACATCCGGTTTTTCTTTAGTTGCATCACGTAAATATTCGACGATACAACATGAACAAATATATCTAGTTTTCAAACACCATTATGATGATAATACAGATTTATTGCAAATTTCAAAATCATAAAGAACTAAATTTTGAAAAATATGTCCATTGAATCATTATCTAGGTCGTCAGAAATTAAGAAGGCCAAGTCCAACACAACACTTGCTTTTGAAAGAGTCAAAATCCACAATAATTCGCCATTTTCCTTACTCTGTCCAGAATTTTTCTCATCAACCAAACAGAACGGTAAAAGCATAAAAGAACCTCACCGTATCACAGCATTAGATCCGTGCCTCAAACAACAGCTCAAAAGAGAAAACTCAAGAAAAACAGTTAAGAAAAAGCTTAAATATATATCTTGCTTTCTTTATTACCAGAATGAGCTTTGAATTCCTCGGAATCGGCGACGCTCTTGGAGCTCTTGGTCTCCGGCGGAGTGAAGCAGGCGATGAAGGCTCCGGCGACGGAACGGGCCGCGGCGGCAACAGCGTTGTGGCTCCGGCCGCCGGAGGCCTCGGAGTACGCCGAGCTCGGCGAGTACGAAATTCGGTCCGGCGTGTACCGGGAGTGGGAGCTAGGGTTCCGACGTCCGTACGACGACGGGTGCGGACTAGTCATGTTAGAGAGAGAAAGAGAGGAGAGAAATGGCGGGTAGTTAGGCACTAGAGAGAGAGAGAGAGAGAGAGAGAGAGGCAGAGTGGAAGACTTTTGATTTTCAAAGTCGGCGATGCAGCGAGCGTGTAAGTTGGTTCTAGCTAATGTGCGCCGTCTAAAGCGAAGCGTAGAAAAAGAGTTTAATTCTTGTATTATCTACTAGTTAACACCTCTCTTGAATAGAAAAATATATATTTATAAATATATTTATTTGTCAAGGCCTCTCTTGTTTTCGTCCAACTTGAGTGATGAAAATTAAAAGGAAACTCATTAAAAAAATAAAAAATAAAAGAAAAAGAAAAAAATAAAAAATAAAAGAAAAAGAAACCGAAAAGGTGATATGGCTCGTTGACGGTGGCTATCGTTCACTTCACAAATTAAAATTTTTCAATTCGAATTTAGATGTAACATTTTATAAGAACTTTTTACTGTAGTAAAAAAAGTAAGATGTGACATTTTCTACAAGCTTTTTACGTAGAAACTTAAAACTAAAACTCGAATCGGTAAAATGAACGAGGCCATAAGACTCGTAACTTTATATTTTGTGTGTAGTGATGTTCTGAAATTGTAAAGAAATTAGCACAAATATTGAGTTGACGTTTGTTTAAAAGATTCGGTTTAAATTATAATTATAATTTTTAATTTTATTACAGTATTTTTTTATAAAAAATTTAAATTTTAAAAATTAAAATTATGAATTAAAATTTTAAATTTATAAACTAAATGTCACATTAATATCCATAAAATTGACCATTCATTTACAAATGGCCTAAACATTGTAGAGAGAGGGGGAGAGAGAGAGAATTTTTTCAATTTTATTAGGCTATTTTCATTTTACCAATTTGAGTTTAGAATTCAAATTTTACTACAGTAAAAAAGTAAAAAAAAAAAAAAAACTCTTAAAAACAATTACATTTAATTTTTTTGTTACAATAAAAAACTCTCGCATAAAATTACATCTCGACTTGAATTAAAAACTCGATCAGCAAATTAAACAGGACCTAATCACTCTCTGTTCTTAATCCGTGGACCCTCCCTGATCATGAAGTTCTCCAAGTTTTAGCAACAACTAGTTGTTGCATTATTAAAAAGATTGGCCCACCAATATACATTTGTCATATTTTGTTTTATCCCTTTTTTTTTTTTCGGTGAATTTGTATTGCGAACTATTATGGTTTCTACTTTTTAAAAATACGTGAAAAGTCAAACTACATTTAAAAAAAAAAAAAAATTTAAAAGATGTGTCCCTAAATTTTGATTTGCATTATCCCATTCCTCAAATTTTGATTTTGTAACAAATAATGCCCGTTCAGTTAGGTTTTTGAACGGAAAACAATCGTAGGCTCAAGCGACTTTTTAAGGGTATTTTAGTAGAGACATTTTAGGAAGGATTTTAATTATTCTGAGAATTATGGTGAAGAAAAAAAAAAAAGGAAGATAAATGAGGGTTGTCCTAAGAGAAATAAAAGTAGCATCACATCACTCCTCAGTTTGTTGCTCCTCTTCTCCTTCTGACCAACCAACATCTAACTTGCCTCTGCCTTTTTTGCTTTCTTCTACATTTTTTCTCTTCACAATTTTTATCTCTAGGAGATTTATGCTTTATATGTCTTTCGCTTTGGTTTCGATTTAGAGAAAGCTCATTGTTCTAGTATTGGTTGCCACTAAAGCACTCTTTAAACTCGTATAACAGATTGTTAAAGATAGGTGAGAAGGGGAAGAAAAAGACAACTTTCAATTTTTCACTTATTTGAAGGTAACAGTAGTCATTTTATTTCGGTCGTTTTTAATTTACCACTATCTATCAGAGCTTGAACGTCATTTTTCCATCCAAAAATCTAGTAGAAGGGGTATTGTTGTTATAATTTCAATGTTTATGACCAAAAAAAAAAAAATGATGCAAAAACAAAATTCGAGGTGCACATGATTACCATGCCTAATGTTCTAAATTCTAAAATTTATCTTTTTTTTTTTTTTTACTGTCCAATCTAATGCTAAATAATTTGGCAGCTAGATAATGCTTTTGTGAATATGACCAAATAAAAAAAAAAAAGGAAGAAAGAGGAAAATAGGCCAAGACTTAAGATGAATTAAAATTAATAGATTAATAGTTTACATAAGTTAATAAATAGGCTAAATTACTGTTTTCGTCCATAACTTGTCTGGTTATGAACCATAACTTGATAAGTTATTGTCCATAAATCACGGTTTTTATCCATAACTTGTCTGGCTATGAATCATAACTTGACAAGTTTGTCCATAACTTATCTGGTTATGAACCATAACTTGACAAGTTATGGCCTATTAATTTCGATAACTAAAAGTTGACCTATATACTTCCTTAAGCTTTTCATATTAACCTATTTTTTACTATTTTCGATAAAAAAAAAAAACAAAAAAAAGAAAGAGAGAAAGAAAAAGGAAAACACCGACTTGGTTTTTTTTAAGGTAAATTTTTTGCATTTTCTTTTTAGGTTCTTTTCATTGTTAAGCTTAACATTTTGAGGTTAGCAAAAAAATCATTATTTTGAATTGTCTAATTTTTATACCTTCAGGTTTTAAATTGCTAAATTCATTTTTTTTCTTGATCAACAATTAATTTTAACCTATAAAAAAAAAAACCTAAACGCCCTTAAATATAAATAAAAACTTATTCTGTGTATGGACTGCTTTTGTTACCATCTCTTGTACCAAAGCAACAACAATCATCACCAACAAAAAGGGGGTAAAAGAGGAACTGATGATATGAGACACCATAAGATCCTCAGCACCAAAATCAAAGACAATTAATAACATCGGCAACCCACCCTCAACCAATCACTTTCAATAAAATAAGGGGCTAAGCCACCAATGGCAAAATAATGTTCTTCTCTTATAGCTAAAACTTTTACATAATGGATGGAGAAAGAACCATTAACCTGTTTAGACATAACACCCACAATAAATCTCTCAGAATCATCCATGATTCGAATCATTCTATGAATTTACCAACCAAACGTACACTTCATATGTCACTACACGTGTGCGGAGTCAAGATTTTATTGTTAGAAGGAGGGCATATGCCTCCCCTTTTACATTAAGTTTGAGAGTTCTTCTATGAGGTACTAGTTTAAGAACACGTGTGATGCACGTGAGAAGTAATCGTATATTAAATTTTGATTATTGTGTTATTATTAAAAGCATATAATAAATTCATATAAAATCTCAAAAGAAACTAAAAATTAAAAAAAAATTTACGGCAAGTAGAAAAAAAAGATAAAAAAAAGGATTAGAATGAAAAAATAAATAAAAAAATAAAAAAAAGAGTAAAAAAAAGTACCAAAATGAATAGATAAATAAGTTTCAGGACAAAAGAAACAAAAACAAAAGAAAAATAAAATTTTAAGGTAAAAAAATGGGTAAAAAAAGACTAAAATAAATGTATAAATAAATTTTAGAGTACCGTAAGAAAGAAACATAGGTAGGAAAATATAAAATTATGGGGAAAAAACAAAAGAAAAAAAGAGTAAAAAAAAGTACCAAAATGAATAGATAAATAAGTTTCAGGACAAAAGAAACAAAAACAAAAGAAAAATAAAATTTTAAGGTAAAAAAATGGGTAAAAAAAGACTAAAATAAATGTATAAATAAATTTTAGAGTACCGTAAGAAAGAAACATAGGTAGGAAAATATAAAATTATGGGGAAAAAACAAAAAAAAACAGAGGAGAAAAACCACAAAGAGAAAAAAAAAAAAATATATATATATATATATATATTGTACAAAACACTGTTATTGTTCATGCATTTTCAACCAAAACGTCACCGTTTTGGTTGTAAACGTGTGGCAACAGTTCTCAACAGAGGACGCTTGGTTAACGGATTCAGAATCATTTTCGATTTACATGTATTTTTTGTGAGAGAAAATACTGTAGTGAGCCACGAATTATGATTCGAACCATGACACGAATCCTTGAACCAAACGTACTATAAGATTTCTTATATATAGATTATCCATCTCTTTGGAGCCCTGAGGAGGACCGGAGTTTTCAATGAACATTTACATATCCCCTTTAATTATCATATATAATGTCAAATAAACTTATCGGTTACATTCTCCACAGGGATTGGAATAGAATAGATTAATTCCCATCCATTGAGAAAAATTTCTTCCACCACACCACCTGACTAAAAATACAAATCGACTACATTATCCTTTTCTTACCATAATGTCAAATGAACTTATCGGCTAAATTCCCTGAATTTTTTTTTAAATGAATATCTCTTTTTCTTATCACAATGTCGAATGAGCTTATTCGCTGAATTCAAAATACACCCTTGTTATTAGTGAGTAATTAAAAAGATTAAACAGAAAATTTGTTAAACATCAATATCATATTGTAACAGCATTTTAATTTAAGGAATTTCTATAGTGTTTCTTCTTTTTTAAGAATATCGGTGTTCACTGCTTATCAATTGTCGGATCTATATTACTTTTCAATCTGATTTGATTTTTGACTAGAATTAATCTAATAAGTAAGAAACACCGGTGTTTCTAAAAAATATAACACCAGAGAAAGTCTCTTTAGGTAAATTAATCTTCTTCTCACTTTTCTCTATTTTTTTTTTAAATTTAATTTGAATTTGATAACCAAGTATCTTTAATGGCCTGCTTGATTTATAAGTTTGAACATAAAATTTTAACAAAATTTTGAAATCTTATGAAGTTAATTACTTAAGTAAATTAGAAGAATCAGAAGAAATGGCTGGGTTGTTCTTTTATATTTTTGAGTTAGGGTGACTTGAGTGATGATCTTGAGATAAGTTTGAATTATAACACGAGTTGAAGTTATAACTTGAGTTTGTGTTTGGATGTATATATTTAATTTATGATTTGAATTGAGAATTTATTTAAGTTTGTGTTTAGGTGGGTCAAAACTTAAATTTATATTTAGATAGTATTTTAATAAAAACTCAATGGTGATGAAAAATTTTAATAGGGTATATGAGTGGGATTTTATTCGTCTTTTCGTTGTGAATGTATAGGAAAAAAATCATCTCAATTAGAATTAAAACAAAAAAGTTATGACATTTTTAAGAATAAAAAAAATATTGTTCATTAACTTGAATTCGAGTTTATGAACTCAAATTGAAGAAGAAATTTAAACTCAAATTTAATCTCAAACTCGAGTTTAAATTCAAATTTAAATTCAAATTTTTTTAAAAAACAAAATATAAACTTAAATAAAATAGTATATGTAATTTTCTCAAAATCTTATAAGAACGTTAAGTCAGACTCAAAGTGAATCAAAAGACCAGCATTAAAAAAGCAGAATTACTAGGGCCTCGTTCATTTCACTGATTTGAGTTTTTAATTCTAGGTTTTTACACTAAAAAGTTCTAAAAAAATGTCACATCTAACTTTTTTTGCTACAGTGAAAAGCTCTCATAAAATATCACATCTCAACTCGAATTGAAAACTCGAATCCGCGAAGTGAACGAGGTCTAAATTGAACGGATCAAAAGAACAATGATAGATCTAATGACGCGGGCCCCTTCGGAAAGAAGTCCTTATCAAGGCCTCGGTCCTAGAAATAGCAAAACTAAAGATAAAAGGGTTGACTCAGTTCCTTTTTCAAACACCAAAACTCTGTTTGATCCAATAGGGCCAGCTTGACCCGTCTGTCGTCAGAGTAACCATTTGTACACAGTTTTTTCGAAAAGTTTGAAAAGGAAAAGAGAAAAAAAAAATGAAAAATACCGCTCAAAATAATGAAAAATATTCTTGAAAGTAAAAAGTCTATACGTTATAGTTGATTTGGGGCTGAGGACAGAAAATCGCTCCAACACTAGTGATTAAGCAAATAAATACTGACATAAATCCAAAATATGTCTTTTATCTACGTGAAGCAAGTACTTATGTTCTAATTTTCAATAAGAATAGTCCCTTGGCCTTGAGGTACTACAGGGACGAAGATCTCAGTCTAATTTTCTACTCAATCACGAAATTAAAAAAAAAAAAAAAAAGGGAAGAGAAAGAAGAAACATGACAAACTAATAAGAAAATTCTTGAATTTAAATCAAAGTGCGATTTAATCATCAAACATGAAACGTAAATCAAATTCGTAGTCTAATTATATTGCTTCTTAATAAATGCCATCAATCATAAGAAGCTCCTTTACGTTAACACCTTTTCAGATGTTGGACGATGGCAGTCAACCTAATAAAAAAAAAAAACCGTATTACTCAAATTTTTTGTTGTTGGACACTACACGATAAAATCAGCTCAAATTTTAATAGATCCATTTTCACCCTTTAATGAGAAAACAAAAAAACAAAAACAAAAACAAAAAAAAAAGAAAGAAATGTTCAGAGCTACGATGAAATAATGTGGCAAATACTTCAATGGGCAGAAATGAAGATTGAAGTGGTTGGTTGTATATCTCAGATTAGACCTACGACCAACAATATAAACTCTCTTTTCAAAAGAAGAGCATGGCATGGCAGACTCTTTTATTACAAGTTAATCAAACTGTATCCTGCGGTTAGGAAACACATTGTCAACATCCAAATCAAAATGATTAGATTTAGTCGTACGACAGTTTGGTGAAGGTTTTGGCAGAGCTCTGAAGTTGGTTGGATATTGCCGGAGTTTTAAGGAATTTCTTCAAGTCAACTTCCACTTGACAACAAAGAAAGGGAAATCCTTTACCTTAAAAAAATAAAAAATTGACAATAGATCCCATGCAGGCTAAAAACAGAGATCAATAACACATTAGTGAATTTAGCTGATTTTAAGAATAGTAAGAGGGAATTTGGTTTTTTTATAGAGTTCTTAATTGTCCACAAAAAATAAAGCTGCAAGTGAAAAAGGAAAGAAATGAAGCAATTTTCCATGTATATTGAACCTTTTATGCTGTGCAGCACTAGATTGAGAATTTCACCTTAGTACACGTAAAGGCAGATTAAGATTGAGAATCAGATTCCTTATGATCGGATCCGGTTCGCACTTGGTTGATGAAGTTTGCAGCCTCAAATAATAAGAACAATCCCACTTGAATCAGAAAAGAGTCCTAGAGCCGAGTTTCAGTTCTCTGAGGGTTCTGATTTCAAATGAAATGCCCAGTAACTGGGCTCAAATTTAAGATATGGTAATAAGGAGAGTTGACATCCTGAAAATAAATAAAGCCTTTTCAGGCCATTCACAGGCTTTATCATGTATGTGTTTGAAGTAGGATGGTTTTTGTTTCAGTCCTTATCCAATTCCATGTCTCCTAAAGGCTTGTATTTAACTTACAATAGTGACAAAGCCAATATGAGAACTACGTCAATCTTCAACTTAGGAGAGATTTATCAATTAGAACTTAGAAAACCGAGAAGAACTCCAGTTCAAGCAGAGAAGTTAAAGGGTATATTCTTCCACAAGAATTTGTGAATTTTCCAAAACCATCACGAAATAACAATCCTAGCATATCATACACCTCTACAGCTTTTGGGTGAGACTGATCACTCGACACAAATGTATGAACATCACCACAAATCTCCACCCAGCTACAACCTGGAGATTTAAGACTACAGTTGCTCCGCATCATTTTACGGATTCTTGCCACATCAAGCCAACGACCTTCATGTGAATATGCGTTAGACATGATAGTATAATTCACGGCAACACTAGGTTCTAATGTAAAAAGCTTTTCTGCAGCCCATTCTGTTAATCGCAAATCCCCATGCCTTTTACATGCCCCAAGGAAGGCTCCGAATGTGTTTGGCCCAGCTTCAGTTGGAATTGCACTCAAAATAGTGAAAGCCTCCTCGAGAAGACCAGCTCGTCCGACAAGGTCAATGAGAGAGGTGTAATGTTCTGGCTCTGGTAAAATTTGATAATTCTTAGTCATCATCTCAAAGTACCGAAGACCTTTATCTATTAGCCCTCTATGGCTACAGGCAGAAAGGACACCAAGAAAGGTGATTCTATCAGGCTTTATGCCACAAGTTAACATTTTCTCGAAATACTCTATAGCCCCTTCAGCAAGGCCATGGAATGCATAGGCACAGATAATTGAAGTCCATGTAAACAGGTCAGGCTCAGTTACCAAACTAAAACACTGAAAAGCACTAACAATGCTGCCACACTTGGAGTATGCATTTATCAGTGCATTAACAGTTGAAAGAAACGACTTAAACCCAAATTTGATTGCACATGCATGAACTTGCATAAGTGCACTACTTAACCCTACCTTGCCACATGAGCTCACAACGCTAGCCATAGTCAAATTATCTGGAGAGAAACCACATCGGAGCATTTTTCCAAACAGTTTGATAGCCCCTTTGCCTTCTCCGTGTTGTCCATACCCCACAATTATGGTGTTCCAAGATACAACGTTCTTAATGGACATCATATCGAAAACCTTGTGAGCAGCGCCTATGTTTTCGTTCTTTGAATACATGTCAATGAGTGAACTTGCAACTATAACATCTATATCAAATGAATGTTTAATAATGATGCCATGAATCTGCTTTCCAAGTTCATATGATCCCGAACTACCACACAAACTTAGCAGGCTACAAAATGTGAAGTCATCCCCCTCAACGCCTTCCAATCGCATGAATTCAAATACCCGAATAGCTTCCCAGACCAAACAATTTGAAGCATAGCAATACACCATCACATTCCACAGAACCAAATCTCTGTACACAACAATGTCAAAAGCACACCTTGCGTCTTCAACTAAACCACATTTTTCATACAGCTCAACGACAGCCGCAGAAACAAAACAGTTGGAAGCAAAGCCCAACTTCAAAACAAAACAGTGCAATTGTAAAGCAACCTCCACATCGTTCAACGCAATGCACGCGCGGAGCAAAACATTCAACGTTATCTCATCTGGATGCACCGTCTCTCGCAACATTCTCTTAAAATACGAAAAACCGAGAGAGAAACTGGACTTGAAGTAACTTCTGTCATCCACAACTCCACATATTACTGCATTCCACGCTACCACATTTCTAACAGTCATTTCGCCGAGCACCTTATGTCCATCACTAAGTTCCTTGCATCTAACGTAAAAATTCAAAATCTGGTTCTGCAAAAACATATCAATGTACAATCCGAACTTTAACAAGTGCCCATGTAATTGTTTTCCTTCAGAGAGAAAACCCATTTTCGCCGAGATTTTGAGGGCTTTGGAGCAAAGGGAATGAGCCAAGTGAGAGTTATGGAAGTGGGCCGACTCGTGAACGGGAATTAAGGCTCTAAGACGACTCAGAGGACGAGTTGTGACTGATTGATGAGATGGGTCGGCTTCTTTTGAGCCATTTGTGATTGTTTTAGTGGAAAATGGACGGAAAAGCGGGAAAGCTAACAGTCGTTTGAAATGGACGGAGGAGATTGAAGATGAACGGCGTTGAGATAGCATGGAATAGCTGAGAGACGACAGTAGAGAGCAACATTTTGATTTTGGCGTAAATGCGCATAAAGTAAATAGCATTAAGTCAAGGGAGTTGGAGGGAAACAAACTCGACTTTCCATAAAAATAAAATAAATAGCACAAACATTTATAAATACTAACAACAAAAGTTTTGGGGTTCTACTAATTTTATTGGGCAATATTTATATATTTTATTTATTTTATCGATTCAAATTTAAAATTTAAATTTTAGTACAGTAAAAAGCTCTTATATAAAATAACATCTCAATTTAAATTAAAAAATCAAATCAGTGAATTAAACAGGCTTATAAGATAAGTAAAATGTTGATTGACTACGCTTTTCATTGGTCAGCATTGCAGTTCAATAAAGAGTAATACGGACCCTACCGCATCAAAACTAAAACCTAATTATTTGAGTTTTTAATTTTAAGTTTTTACAGTTTAAAATATTTAAAAAATGTCATATTTATTTTTTTTATTATAATTAAATTTTTTTAAAAAATATTATCTCTCGATTTAAATTAATCACAAAATAAACGAGTCCATAGCACCTCCACTTCCACTAAAACTTAGGGGTTGTTTGGTTGGGGGATTCGTGTCCCGATTCAAATCACGGTTCATGGTTTGCTACAGTGTTTTCTCTCACAAAAAATACACGTAAATCAAAAATGATTTTAATCTCATGATTCTAATCCATGAACCAAACGTCTCCTTAGAGTCCGTTAGGTTCATGGATTAGAATTATTTTTGATTTACGTGTATTTTTTGTGAGAGAAAATACTGTAACAAATCACGAATCATGATTCGAATCAGGGACGAATCCCTCTACCAAACATCACCTTAAATCCAGTACTGTAGATTTTCAACCCATTCAATCTTTCTTCCGTACCCAGCCTCGTTTCAAGAGCCATCTCTCTCTCCCTTCCTCTGTCTAAATTATTTCATCTTCTTTTTTTTATTATTATTTTTGATGAAATTCTGAATTATTTCATTGGGTAGTATGAAATTGTTCTCATTTTATCATTATTAAAAAAATTGTTCTCACACCTGCACGAAATGCCTCACACCTGGGTATCTCGTCTCATCCATAACTCTTGAAAACCATGAGCATCTGGTTTAACTTGAAAACCATAATTTTGTACTAGGTTATATGATATGAATGCATTTATGGGTATGCATAATTATTGCATCTGTTATGACCTATTGATACTTACTGAGCAAAAGCTCATTAAGTTTTTTCGTGTTATAGGAAGCACGGGTAAGGCACCGGCTCCCTAAAACTTGATGCTGGGCATGCAGAGAGGGTGTAGCAGCGGAATGTGGGCAAGTGGGTTGTGGACGCATCATGTGTTTTGGAAACGCTGCTAAACTTTATATGTAAAATAAAATAGTGTTTTATGTATTTGATGACTAGTGTAATAGAATGTTGTCAAAATGCTACAGCATTTTAGGAATGGCTGAAAACAGAATGTTAGCTAAATGCTACAGCATTTTAACGTACATGGAAAAAAAATGGCCTGAAATTTTTAGAAGTTATAACTAGTAAATGGTAAAGATTAAGAAATGTTAAGTATGAGCATAGGACGACAATCAAAAGTTAGGGTCGTCACATTGAGCCAGATAGTTTATTTTCTTACAAGGTATAGAGAACGTTCTCTATGTAAGAATTCTAAAGTAATTCCTGGAGAAGTACTAGCCACCCAACATAGGTTAGTGATATTAGATGTGAGCATTAAGCTTTGCTACAGAAGGACTAAGATAAACCACCTCCCACAAACTCGTTGGTGGCATTTGAAGGGAATAAAGCAATTAGCCTTTAAAGAGAAGTTGTTAGATGAGGCTACTTGGTCATATATAGGTAATGCAAATACTATGTGGGATGCCATGGCCAGCTGCATTAGAAAAGTGGCAAAGGAGGTAGTAGGGGAATCTAGAAGTAAAGGCCCACCTAGGAAAGAAACCTAGTCGTGGGGTGAGGAAGTTCAAAAGGCTATTAGGACCAAGAGGAATTTATATAGAGATTTACCAGAACATAAGGATATTGAAACTTTTAATAAGTATAAAGAAGCGAAGAAAGAAGCTAAGCGAGCAGTTGGTAAGACTCGTTCTACTTACTTAGATGAGGAATATAGTACTCTTGAGACTAGAGAAGGAGAGAAGGATATATATAAACTAGCCAGGATAAGAGAAAGGAAGTGTCGGGACCTAAATCAAGTGAGGTGTGTAAAGGATGATACGGATCAGATTCTGACAAAAGATAGACATTAGGGAAAAGTGGAGGAGTTACTTTGAGAAGCTTTATAATGATGCTCATGCGATAGAGTTTGACAATCTTAGGTCACAAGGAGAACCTAATGTGATGTATACAAGAGGAATCAGAGTCTCAGAAGTTAAAACTGCACTACAGAAGATGAAAAAGGGGAAGGCATGTGAGCCAGATGAAATTCCAATAGAGGTTTGGATGGCATTTAGAGATGCTGAAATTGTGTGGCTTACTAAGCTTTTTAATGAGATACTAAGGAAGAAGCATATGCCTGATGCATGGAGGAAAAGTATTCTTGTCCCCATCTTCAAGAAAAAATGAGATGTGCTGAAACTTTGAGAGAGAGTTATCGAAAGGAGATTAAGGGCCACAACTACCATCTCAGGTAACCAATTTAGCTTCATTCCAGGCAGATCAACCACAGAAGCCATTTTTCTTCTTAGGATGCAGATGGAAAAGTACAGAGAAGTAAAGACAGACCTACATATGGTCTTTATAGATTTAGAAAATGCATATGATAGGGTGCCGAGAGAAGTTTTATGGTGGGTGCTAGAAAAGAGAGGAGTGCATGTGAGCTATATCAAGGTAATTAAGGACATGTACAATGGGGTGGTCACGAGTGTGAAAACTACTGAAGGCTACACGGCAGAGTTTCCCATTCAGATCGGCCTTCATCAAGGATCTGCTCTTAGTCCTTATCTTTTCACCATCGTGGTGGATAAGCTGACAAGAGAAATCTAAGATAGAGTTCCTTGGTGTATGCTTTTTGCAGACAATATAGTTTTAGTTCAGGAACATAGAGAAGGAGTTAACCGTAAGTTAGAACTGTGGAGACAGACTCTCAAGACGAAGAGTTCTGGAGTGAAAAATCATATAAGAAGAAGAGTTCATTGAGAATCGGTTTAGCCTTTAGGAAATATGTACTTTGTCATTTGCAAAAAAATATTCTCTAATGGACAATGATTCATAAAACACATTCATGAATCGGAGCTCCTACTGGTCCAAGTACCGAATCAACCCTCAAGAGAATTATTTATCTACTTCTTTCTTAAGAAGGAATGGATTCCATCTCGTGTAATAACATTCCGCATTTTAACGTACATGGAAAAAAAATGGCCTGAAATTTTTAGAAGTTATAACTAGTAAATGGTAAAGATTAAGAAATGTTAAGTATGAGCATAGGACGACAATCAAAAGTTAGGGTCGTCACATTGAGCCAGATAGTTTATTTTCTTACAAGGTATAGAGAACGTTCTCTATGTAAGAATTCTAAAGTAATTCCTGGAGAAGTACTAGCCACCCAACATAGGTTAGTGATATTAGATGTGAGCATTAAGCTTTGCTACAGAAGGACTAAGATAAACAAATGGGAATGACATGTATTAATAATGTTTTAATTAAAGATTCTGAACTTTAATTAAATTCATTATGAACATTGCTTTTTGATTATTATCCTTAAACATTATCCTCTCGTATATAACACTTATATACAGTGTTTAAGGTTACATAAATAATCATGGAATTTTCATTGATATTCACAAAATATTCATAAATATATGCACATAAAATAATGAATAAACTATTTTATTAAATAAATAATAAATATCTTATTACATCTCATGCTTCTAGGACACCATTCCCAACAATTGAAACTTTTAATAAGTATAAAGAAGCGAAGAAAGAAGCTAAGTGAGCAGTTGGTAAGACTCGTTCTACTTACTTAGATGAGGAATATAGTACTCTTGGGACTAGAGAAGGAGAGAATGATATATATAAACTAGCTAGGATAAGAGAAAGAAAGTGTCGGGACCTAAATCAAGTGAGGTGTGTAAAGGATGATACGGATCAGATTCTGACAAAAGATAGACATTAGGGAAAAGTGGAGGAGTTACTTTGAGAAGCTTTATAATGATGCTCATGCGATAGAGTTTGACAATCTTAGGTCACAAGGAGAACCTAATGTGATGTATACAAGAGGAATCAGAGTCTCAGAAGTTAAAACTGCACTACAGAAGATGAAAAAGGGGAAGGCATGTGAGCCAGATGAAATTCCAATAGAGGTTTGGATGGCATTTAGAGATGCTGAAATTGTGTGGCTTACTAAGCTTTTTAATGAGATACTAAGGAAGAAGCATATGCCTGATGCATGGAGGAAAAGTATTCTTGTCCCCATCTTCAAGAAAAAATGAGATGTGCTGAAACTTTGAGAGAGAGTTATCGAAAGGAGATTAAGGGCCACAACTACCATCTCAGGTAACCAATTTAGCTTCATTCCAGGCAGATCAACCACAGAAGCCATTTTTCTTCTTAGGATGCAGATGGAAAAGTACAGAGAAGTAAAGACAGACCTACATATGGTCTTTATAGATTTAGAAAATGCATATGATAGGGTGCCGAGAGAAGTTTTATGGTGGGTGCTAGAAAAGAGAGGAGTGCATGTGAGCTATATCAAGGTAATTAAGGACATGTACAATGGGGTGGTCACGAGTGTGAAAACTACTGAAGGCTACACGGCAGAGTTTCCCATTCAGATCGGCCTTCATCAAGGATCTGCTCTTAGTCCTTATCTTTTCACCATCGTGGTGGATAAGCTGACAAGAGAAATCTAAGATAGAGTTCCTTGGTGTATGCTTTTTGCAGACAATATAGTTTTAGTTCAGGAACATAGAGAAGGAGTTAACCGTAAGTTAGAACTGTGGAGACAGACTCTCAAGACGAAGAGTTCTGGGGTGAAAAATCATAT